TATATTGTAATCATCTAAATTGTCCAGTATAACTGGACGGAATAAAAGCAAAAGTCACAAAATTCTAGAACTTTCATTAGAAGACGCGAATTTTCACTGGACAACAAACCCACCTATTCTTGTCTTCATAGCGTTGATCCCGGATCACAGCGGTCGTGTGCGATTTCATACGAGCAGAAACATTTCCGTTGGCCTTTCCTCGTCCGCTCAAATTCTCATAGCCAAGTTCCCAGTCATATGGTTCATCCATCGCAAATGCGTTCCTAAACATCCTAGGCTCTTCAACCGTAATCCTAAGTAACTCGAGCAGACTCACTTGTGGATAATTTGAATAAGGAGGCTTTCAAGCAGCTCATAATCGGGTAAATCGGGATAGGAGAGGGTACGAAGATGGGCGGCGAACTGATGTAGTTCTCCCGGACAGTCCTCGAGCAACACATTCAAGTCAACGTCTTCTTTCATTCGACCCACCTGGAAGCAACCGGTTCTCATAGTGGAAGTCATACTGAACTGTACGACTCACCTCATCTTTGTCTTTGATCTTCCTCCATGGAAGTTGTCCTTGCAAAAACTCAGCCATCATATAGAACAGTGACCATAAATCATCCTGACGGCCCATTTCCTGGAACGCATCATATTTTGCGAAGAATTCATGCCTTTGGGTTTCTTCACTTCCATAGTAGATTCCTCACTCTGGGGGATGTATGTTTTGTGAAAACGAAAAGTAAGAAATCATATTTCGGCCAGCTTTGAAATTACAGAATATCATGGGGAAAATAAAAGTCAAAACAAAAACAAAAACGGAAGGCTTCTGGGTATTGCATCATCCACCTTCTTTTCTGTGGCTTAGTGTCAACCATATTTTATTGAGACCATTACCATCGAGTCTGCCAAGCCCCTGAGATGGATTGGATGTGAATTTATGGAACTTTCGCTGAAGGGACGTGTGGGAGGTGTGAGAGGCATTGTCGAAAAGGGCCTGGCTCTGAATAGGCCCTGGGACGATATCAAGGAAATACCAAGAGACGTTTCATGGAGAACCAGGTCCGATCTCTACAAAATTGGATGTGAATTTATGGAACTTTCGCTGAAGGGACGTGTGGGAGGTGTGAGAGGCATTGTCGAAAAGGGCCTGGCTCTGAATAGGCCCTGGGACGATATCAAGGAAATACCAAGAGACGTTTCATGGAGAACCAGGTCCGATCTCTACAAAATCATCTCCGCAACATGTGGTAACGCTGGCACTGTGAACAGCCACTTTAGAAGCGCTTAATGTACGCGTGGCAGTTTTCAAGCCAAGTTTTATTTTTAGACTAACATCATTTCAGAATCGCGCAGGGAGGGAAGTTCACGTGATTTTGACAGCGTCATTGCCCTTGACATCTGACCCTCTTCTTCTGATGTAGGAGTGTGACAGCGATGTTCCAGCTCACTTCCATCACCGGGATTGACGACACGCCTAGTGCTGTTTGAAGGATTCACATACTTTGAGTGCAAGAGAAAGAGAAATAGATGGTGATAGCGAGACAGAGATTGATCTGGTGTTCATGTTATGAGTGCCAAACACCAATACTTGAAACGACCACTACAAAGTAAAGTTCCTGGAAGCTCTAGTGTGCTCCACATATTGGCTATTCGTCGCCCATTACATTAAATTCCACAATCATTTCCAGTATTCCTAAGGCTTCGTTCCCATATCCAGTGGTAAGAATATTGAATGTTTTTTAATTTTCCCGTCAGAATCAGGTGCTCGCGTATGAAAAACATCACTAAATGATGGTCGAAGTGAAGCGGAAGCTTCAAGAGCAGCTACTTGGAGGAAGCGGGGGAGTTGAGCAGCTTAATTTTTTCTTTCTCCTCCTNTCTGATTTAATACACGAGAAAAAGAAATAAAAATAATGCAACGGTCAAATCAAATATTTTATGACGTTGAGGCTGATGTGAGACATGCCCCATCACTATCGGCTTCCGGGCGCGCTTCGTTGCGCGTGTCCGTCGAAACTAGGTCACGCCGCAGCCGTCGCATGCGGTGAGTAAGCCCGCGATACTTGACGGACGTCGCAGCTGTGAGCGGGGCATACGATTTGCGCTTTCTCCTCGGTAGTCTAAAGAGGTGATAACATAGAGAAATGCAAATCGTTCGCTCCACTCACACCTGGTGGTTCTGTAATGTCTCCCCGAGACCTCAGGGGAGTGCGCCGCGCGCAAAGTGAGCGAGGTGACCTACTTTCGACGGACGCGCGCAACGGACGTTCGCCATCGGCTTCCCGCTGCTCAAGTCATTTTCCGGAGTATACAAACGCTTTGGAGGTGGTGAATAGGACATCAATCGAAAAGTTCCTGCGTGCATTACTATCGTTTTTCCTCACTATGGTAAGCGCCCTCACAAATGTGCGAGTCAGGATTCGTCGGCAACACTCATTACCATCAGAAATGTGCGACATTTGACTGGATGAGAAGGAAAATTCGCAGGTGGATTTTGACCATGAACATTAGGTCTACTGCTTTTACTAAGGTTGTGTTGTGGCGACTAAAGTACTATCTCACTCGCGTGGTTCGGGGATAGATCCCGGATCGATGGTCGCTCAAGCCAACCACGCCTTTCATCCCTGCGGGGTCTGTGGCAATAGGAGTCAGTCTCGTTTTGAAAAACAAAAAAAAACTTGATCTGACATAGACCAGTCATCGTAAGTCATTATACAAACTTATACGGAGCTACTACTTCGATTGTGATTGGAAGTCGAATATGCAGGCGCATTTCAAAACGGGATTAGTTAACGCCGGAAACTTTATATATATAGTAAATAGAAATTCTTCACATAGGACAACAAACAGAGACGTTCTCCGTTGGAAGGGAGGCGCCTAACTCTGAAAAACGTCTTGAAAGAAAAGACGTACGCATACGTGATATACATTATGACTACAAGGATATGGGATAGAAGTCAGTTGAATGCAGAATAGTGCTTTTAGAGGGACACAACCCATGAAATTCTGACATAAAATTACAAGTGGTTCTGATTAGACATTTTCTACCCTTCCACTGAATTTAGCCCATAAAACTGTATTTGCAGCCTTATTCCGCTTGTTGTAACCAATTTGCGTAAATCGTTTTCATCAAAAAGAAAATCTCGAATGTATGAACTCATCGCTTTTTGTCAGGATTTCGAAATGCTACGCAATTTCTGCTTTATTTTCAAAATCGGATTGACTAGTGGTCGGACAGAGCAGAGTCAGATGATTTTCTAGTGGAGTTGTAAAGCGCTGGTTATTATAGGGCACTAACTGGTAAGTGCTATAAGTGGGTAGAAGCGAAGGAAGCCCCTTCACACCGTTGAAAAGTGGTGAATAGTCACAACTACCCATACGTCGGAAACCGACCTGCATGGGGAAAACACTTAGTTAGACACTACCTGATCCCTCGCAAGTCAGATTGGATGTCAAAATCGAACAAACAAGCTGGGATGATCGTAACGAGAAGTCGATCATAACTTGCTCTAGAGGGTTGGCCAGTGAAGGCGTTCTTTTTCAATAGAGAGACTACCACACACACAATCTCTTATTCAGTCTTTAGACACAAAACAGAAAATGCCGAGAAAAGAAGGAATCGTAAAGACAATAAGTAACATTGAAACGATGAACGAAGCTTGCCAAACCTTGTTTTTGTGAGCCGACACAGCGGCATAGCGTACGGTGCCACGAAAGCCAGCTGCGCTTCGAGGGCTTCTGATCTCTCCTTTTGCATTCAGATACTGTCTGGCCAAGCCAAAATCCAACATGAACACCTTCCGCATGGTGGCTGTGCTGCGCCCCATCGCGAAGTTCGACTGAAAATTGTAAAATTCTGGCAGCGGCAAGGAAGCGGATACTTTTTTATTCGGGCGGAATTCAAATCCCATGCGATATAAGGTTCATTTTTCCCATTTCCCCAGTTTTTTCTTCGGTCATAAACATCAATCTCCGGACTCAAAACGCAATATTTCTTTCAGTTTCTAAGCCTTCAATAAGAGGCTTGAGGCGAGGCATTAATTCACTCAACTGCGACGAGACGATGCACTAGAATTTCCATGGCGTGAGGTAATGTAGGGCACCCCTCAATTTGAGAAAGGCAGCCCATTTGTCTATTGGCATTGGATGCATTGAAAAATGAATTCTTGATTAAACATCATTATTTTGAATTGTCCTTTGACCAGATTCGACCCTTTCTAATCAGATCTTTTATCTCTCTCTCTCTCAGCCAGTGAATCAGTAGAGAGCCTAGTGGAAAGGGAAAGTACCGTAGCTTACGTTCTGAGAAAATTTTCCTGGTTGAATCTCGAAATATATGGACGTTTCTGATAATCTGACTTCACATCGAATGCAAGGCGTATTCTAAAGCGAATGATCAAAGCTGAAGATCTCTTTGCTCTCCCCATGGATCACACATACCCCTCCCAGCTCGTGAATTGTTGGGGAATGGGCAGCGTCTTCCTATCAAGCTTTTCAAAGTCGGTTCCAACAAATCCTTTAGCATGAAGTATTCGCAAGAATCAAATGAAAAGACATCCCTTGATAATTTTCTGGAGACTGCTGGTGCTGTAATTCATTAGCCATTGCATTTTCCAGCCTCCACCACCTCAAGCCATCTGATTAATGGACTAACGTTCGCATGGCAAATTTATGCATGCTTCGCATTCTTCGCCTTTTGGGTTTCTCCCATTTGAAAAGTGGAGGAGAGATTTATCTGAGAAAAGACCTCATGGGCACCATATATCGTATGAATGCGCCTATCTGATTGTGATACTGTGAAACCCATTTGATCAGAATGAGGAGGACGTGCATTCTGAGAACTCAGAGAATGACGCTTTCCCATAACATATGGTGGCAAACGAAACCCGGACGTCACAAAACACTCGGCAGTCCGAAAGCGAATGAGCTGTCAAGCTTGCTATCCCATTGAGATTAGTTAATGGGCACTCAATTTAAGTTATGACACCGGATTTAGCATCAGCTGACTCTCACATGCCATTGTTTGGGTGAAGCCCGAACAGGGCAAAGGCACTTGTGGTCTCGTTCAGGGACAGTATACAAAACCTGTCAAGAACGAACAAATCATATGAATCATTTCACTCATTTCGTTTCCAGTTAAGGCCAGATGAGCAAAAAAAACCTCCCAAGCAATATCTGGCTAAAACCAGATACATCCGTAATATAAGGAGTGTTATACGACCGCCAACCCGATTCACAACAGGACGGTAAGCCTTTTGCGGGAGAGTTTCGCAGGAAGTTGGCGAGCTGTAATATGATTCGGGCGACAAAACCATCAGAATTCGAAACGGTGACGACAGTACTGTTGAAGCTTACGGATTTGGTAATTAGAGAAAGGTGATTGATGGACAACAAAAAGAGGAACCTGGGGAATTCAGTGATAGCAGAGATGCTCATATTTCTGCCCTTCTTTCACCCAAGTTTTTTAATTTAGGTGAAATGCATTTCTAAAGCCAAAAAGAGAAACCAAAATACCACAACATGGACGAAAACTGACTCCCAAAAGAAAGGAGAAAAGTTGAGAAAGTTATCAAAAATTTGAATAGAGTGGAACGGAAATTTAATAACAAGTAATATAAAAAGGTATGAATCTTGGCAATTATGCTAAGAAATCCCATGAAGCTGTCACAGAACATTTAACAACATCCGCTCAACAACACCTGCTTTAGTCACTGAAGAAAACACGTTGTCTGGAAATGGGATGCAAAAGGAATTCTGATAGGAGGAGGAGCGGTCTGTAGGAAAACCCCACGAATCTACAAAAAAGTTCAAATAGAAATCTGAAAAAGTGCATACCGGTTTGATATCCCTGTGAAGGAATCCTATTGAGTGTATTTCTCGAATTGCGTTCAGAATTTGTACACCCAAACGAATAGCCGTACTCAGGCTGAAGCACTGCTTTGGTGCCTGAATGGGAAATTCTTCTGAATATGAAATAGCAAGATTTGAATGCGACTTTGAGGGTGTTTGCCATGTCGGCGAAGCGTTTGGACGAAGGAAAAAGGGTGTATAGGAACACTTCAGAAGATCTTTTATAAGTACCCACCTCTCTCCTGAGATCGGCAAGATTCTTTCCTTGAAGACTCATTACCAAATAATTAAACTTGTCGTTCCGTCCGCACCCGTAGAATTTACACGCATGTTTTTTTCCTGAAAATGAAATTATTCACGGAAGATGCTGGCACTTTCACTTGAAATCATTGAGGACCGTATTTCAGATGTTTCCCGTCGGAGTTGGACGAGAGAGGGGCATCTAACGCTATTAGGCTAGGGATGAGCTCGCGACCTAACCGAAATCGAATTCGTCACGTTCGGCTCTGTTCAATTGGATGACAACTTGGGCGAAATTCGCATTTCCCGTCAGTGAGCCGCATCGAGGATTGAAAAGAGCTTTCTTGGAGCCACTGCTGCCTCATGGCTCGAACGCTTACGCAGTGACAGCCGAAGGACGCTGTCTTCAATGAAAAACGCGACAACTTCGAGAAAACAAGAAGACCCAGGAAACAAGTTTTGCATGACTTAGAGTATAGTCAGCTGATAGGAGAGCTATGAAGATCAGCCACGAGTCGTACTCACCCTGAAGTCGTCGCAACACTGCCACCTCCATTTTCAACACCTGTTTTGCAGCTTTGCTAGATTCAACCTTAATAGAAATACAATGTAAAGGAAAAATCATTTCGGAAAAATGTCATGAACGAAACGGTCACGAGCGAAGAAAAGTTCGATTCCACTGTGGTAGCGGCCTCAAGGAGGAAAACTTACCTTTACAGCTACCCGTTCATTATGGTTCTGAGTATCGATGGCTTCGTAAATTTCTCCGAATCCTCCGCCGCCTATCTTTTGCTTCTGAAAACAGCTTGAGCACATTACTTGTCCTTCTTTTAGTTCAGGCACTTAAGAGGCCCTTGAACAGCAGCTTTGAATTTGCGGCCGTAATCACCCGCAACATGTACTTAGTTCTTCAACAGCTAACAGCGTTTGACAATGCAAACGAAAAAGTGAATTTTCGGGAATGGGAAGGTAACTTACTATTTTCCATCGTTCTCGTATCACCTGAGAAACTTGCAGGATCTCCCCTTCACTTGACGAAGTCATTATCGTTGCATCCCTGTAGAGCCCACAATTAAACTGGCATATCAGTAAACACCAAAGTAGTGTTTGATCGTTGCGAAACGAGTAGACAACCGAAGAACAACCTTCTCTGCAACTGTGTTGAGCCATGTCGGAACTGAGTGAGGAAGAGCGATAAATGGGAAAATCCAAAGGGCATTGAGGTGGCTGGTCGGCAGTCTGCGGTCTCGACCAGAATGGTGTGGGCGCCTCAGAGAGGCAAAACGTGCAACCCCGGCAACCACCCCTTCCCCCACGGGAATTCCCGGCTCATCGTTACCAAATCAATGAATCAACAACTAACTGTTTGCCATCTAGCCCTCATCTTGAGGATTACGGTCGGCACGCAAGAGACCCATGTGGCCCCCATCTCGGTTTCAAATACTCCAGGTGAGAGATCTGTTGAGAACAGACTCATAGCATCAGTGGAAGGGTAACTTGGGCTCCAACTAATCCCGGGCGCACTTCCAAACAGTGAAAATAAACGGAAATGAGACTACTTATTAGCATTGTAACTGAGAAAGCGTTAAGTACGGTATGACATCAGGTAATTCCGGAGCATAACCAAGAGCGGTGTGTTTGCAAATGGTAACTGGTAAGCAGATTCTTTTGTTATCACTGAGATATTTCGATTAAAATTGTTCATTCAGTTGCTCTCAGGATGTTCCCCTCGATGTGTTGGGGCCACATCGTATCACAGCGAGGGTCAAATGCTGATTAGGAACATATCCGCCTTCGTTCCGATTGGAATCTCTCACGTGTGCATTGATGTCACATATGGGATGGAGCAGCTTTATGAGAAGATTGGGAGAAGTCGTCAGCTCCGCTTACTGTACCTTCTCTCTTAAAGAATATGATCCTCCATTCAACACCTTTCCACATTATAAGGAATGACATTGAACATGGATGGTTAGACCAGGGAANAAGGCAAAAGAGCTGAAGTGACAGAGTTGGAACATCCAAAACGGCTTCAAAGACCGCCTACGCTTGATTGTTTTGGGAAGAACGAGAATGAGATTAGTATTATTCAAATGGGAATATGACGTCATCAATAATAGAATCCAATGACAACAAATAAGAAATGCATAATTCCGCTCGGAAAAAGCACAGGAAAAGCTCGCTTACCCATCCATTATACCTTCAAATCTGCGCTTATGACGCTTAATCTCACCAAAAACATAAAGTCTGGCTCGACACCATATGAATTCCCAAGTCATTGACCAGTCCGAGCCACGGGATCCTCTGTGAACGCTACTAATCGTCTGTTGGCCACCAGCTGATCCTACTTCTTTGCTTCTTACCCGAGGCTTTTGAGATCAATAACAGTGTAACAGAGCAAAACCTCTTTCAAAATTGTTATCCTACCCATCGGCCACCCCAGATACTCTACTTTGGGGGTAAACGCTGGTTTGGGTGGTTGCATAGGGAGATTACAGACCCTTAATCAGGTCAGTCAGGCCGCTTATGTTAATTACCTTGCTTAATTGAGTTGATCGTTCAACTTTAATCAACCGTAATAGCAGAAAGGCTGGGCAAAAATAAGTTCAAAGAACATATTTTCTGCAGAGGGCGGATGCTGAGATGAAACAATTTTGTTGACAGCGAAGTACAGTTGCCCTTGGCTTTTTGGGTTCAAATGGAACTCGAGAAAGTTGATTAACGAGAAAGCTCTTTTACGCTCTGGGAACGCTACACCTATTGAGGCGGCACATATGCTCATAGTGAACAGAAAAATTGAGAACAAACGCAGAATCGCACAATCAAATTCAAAAGAACGGAAATTAAGAAGGCAGTACTATGTATGGGCAATGCGTTACGACGTCTAGTCAATGCTTATTCCCTAGTTCTTCGTTAAGGACGAGTTGAGCCCTGATCATTAACCAAAGAAATAAATGTAGCCCATGTGAATCAAAGGTGAACTATTGATGTGTAGGTGTTAAGCATGAGACTCCCTCAACAGCTGTAAAAAAGTAGCCTTTCATTAGCAGTCTCTACAATAGAAAGCCAGCTTTCATATCTACCCAGGAGCAGCGGAAGAACACGATGGAAATGGTTTTGTTACAAAAATGAACAATTCGAATGGAAGGGTCCAAAAACTGTGGTCGTTGAACCAGAGCCGTGAGTAGTAAAGGAAAGGAAATTGAAAGAGACTGCTATAAACATGCACTCATGGTTCGCCTAATGGAAAACCGTCGTTCTCCCTGTCGAAAGCTGTCAAAAGCGAAAAAAAAGTGATTTAGGGAAATGGGTTAGTGGTATCTAAAGGTGACATGTTTCTGAGAAAATGGGAAGACCTACAGAAAACTAATGGTTGTAGGTAATTAATCAACTCAATTTTGGAATAGCTTATAAAAGGTCATCCCGAGCAGAGATTTCAACCGCCTTGGTTAACTTTCCCATGGTGACATGAAATTGAATCGAAGCCAAGAAATCATTTCCGAGAAAAACATTAATCACAGTCCAAAAGACAAAGGAATTAACAATGGCGACATGTCTGGGAGGAAAAGTTGGAAGAGCGATTGACGATGTGACAACCTAGGATTTCACTTGGAACTGAACGACGTCCTCTGCAGTGCAGAGACGTCCTCGCCACATTAACATAAAGTGAACTTGGGGGTTGCAGCCAGGGTGCTGGGACCCTCGGGACTCTGTCGGCTATCAATATTGGAGGAAAGTGGACACCCGGCCGTTGCGCTCTATGCATGCTTTTACATTGGTTGCCACTGGAAAGCAAATTGCTATCATCTCGGAACAGCTAGCTCACTTCTATGACACTACAAAAGAAGGAATCCCTGGCGAATCAATTCTGAGCATAGTAATTTTAATAATGAGGCAACGATTAATTTGCCTTCCCATGGGCTCTAAAGTGCAATGGCCATAGATGTAAACGATTCCCAGATAGATGGGGCAAAAAACCGTATTCGATATGCAAGACTCGGGAAGGCCTTCACAACTTTGCCTCCGGTCATGAATTTTGACGGATTGGACGCTTCTATGGCATATTCACTTTATCGATAGAGCTGAAGGTGGACAAGTGGCGAAGTGCAGCCAGCGCCAGTTCCTCAATCATCGTCATGCCCATCTTTTGTGTCCGTTCGAACGTGACGGAGAAGCACGCTCATCGAGATTTATAGTTACTGGATTGCGTGCCTAAGAAGTAGATAATTCAGGTAAAAAAATCCCGTGAAGCGGAAACCTTCCACAGCAGAATTTAATAACATGCAAACAAAAATCATAAAGACCTTTTCAGCTCGTCTCACCATCGCATTGTGTGAAAAGTAAAAGAGTGGGAGAGGGATAAGTAGCCGCAACGATCAATACCCAAAAGATGCAAAACCAAGCGGGAGGGAGCAGATAATGAGAGGGAACGACCTCGGGAAAGCGCAAAAGCTTTGGGATTTGACACCAAGGCGTGAATTTCGTCGAAGGCCAAGGAACTTCTGCGTCCCGCATGAGGTCATCTTCGCCAGATGGTGTCACTAAAACCGTCGTGAACGTGCGGATCTGGAGGTGATTACGTACTTACAGGATTACATGCAGCTGTTATCCACCAAGAAAACACGGACGAGACGATCGTTTGATCCGATGGATCAGTCCTTAATTGGCTAATTAGGAAGGCGATCACCACAGTGCGATCTAGTACTAATTAGGGAACGAAGAGCATGTTCGTCAGGGCGTAGCTGTTAAATTATAGGGATCAGGATTAGGCTTTAGAAGAAAGTAAGCCTTCGAAGAGGATCGAATGGCTGCCAACAGATAGCAGCTGGCAACAATCGCCGGTCGCCTTCGTCTAGGAGAATTGAGTAAAAGTAGTTAATCGATCACGACCGTCGTAGTTTTTTTTGAAGAGGCAAAGCAGTGGAAACCAATGAAGATAAGGTTGAACGAGCAAGCCCCTTTCTTGGGTAAGCCCTAGTGAGAAGGGTAGTCTAGCTGTTGATTCCGAAGGCAGTGTGCAGATGGTCATCCAATGTGGTAAGCAACGTACGGTATAAAGTCTTGCATGCGACAAGAAGTGTAATGAGCCAGATGATGATATTTATCGAATGAGGAGCAAGTTTCAGTCCAGGATAAAAAA